AATGACTCACTCATTAAACGCTCACTACTGGCACCTACTGGCGTTTTAATTTCGTCAAAAAGTATCATTTCCACCATAATTTCTTGTTTGTATATTCAAAAATATTTAAAATAATCTCATAATATTATTTAATGCAGTTGTATTTTTCAGTGTAAATGATTTAATTTGATAACGTATAGATAATCACATTATTATAATTGAATTTATAGATCAAATGTAAGAATTTGAAATGAAATTATTAATGAGATTAGTGGGAAAATGCCCTCTAAAAAAATGTCCTTGGATAAAATATTGAATATATAAATATTTAATAAAATGAGAATATTGCTTCAGAATAAACCATATTTGCAAAACACACACACACACACACACAAACACACACACACACACACACACACACACACACACACACATATATATATAAACTCGATGCCATAGAGCCCCCCCACATAGCAAATCCCAATTTAACCCCTGAATATATATATATATATGTATGTATATATAATGTAAAGTTTGGTGTATGTAAGTGCTACTTAAATGGAAGAGGTCTGCAGAATGGATAAAGTGTAATAAAATAAACACTGTATTTGTAAATGTATTTTGGACGTTTTCTTCCCAGTCTGAAGCATAATTAGACCAGATGTCCTTTCATTAGTTGGTGAACAGATCCCTCTCGTGGAAAGAAATAAACATAACAGTTTATTATCCAGTGCACAACTCTGATTTTCTGTTAAATAAATATTTATTAGATTGTATGAATGTATTAGTGAATGTGTGTGTACTTTACAGAAAAGATTCAGAACAGCTTCCGCCAGCATAGCATAATTATTACAGTTACTGTTTCTACTGTAAATTCGTGGATTTTTATCATGGTTTTTTAATGTTATGAAATTAAAATTTATTCTCATTTAGTTTTCTTTTTTTTTTTGTCATTTTGTTTTATTTCTTTAATGACACATTTTCTTACGGTTCTCAACGTAGTCATATTTTCTTATTTCTTTGATATACACTTGTAAATGTGTGTCATTTTTCCATGCTAATAAAAGTATTTATAAAACATTTCTTATTGTACAAAACGTTTTCTTTTGGGGGCTAAGTCTGTAGTCGTTATATAAAGCTTAATATAAAAATGCTACGTCCTCAATTATATACGTAAAGCGTGCGTGGCGCGCGTGCGTCTACGCGCTGACGTTCTTCCTGTTTCGTGCCCCGTACATCCGGTCGGCCCGACAACACGCCGCTGTTGACTCGCTTGAGCTGGGCGGATGATGATGGAGCGGTAAAGTTCACGGTAAGGTGCGGTAACCTTCAACTTATCCACACATTTACACGGTCGTGGCATATTTTATTCATTTCTATGAAAGTTCCGCGCGGGTCTTTTATCTGACAGCGCGCGCCGATGGTGCCGTCATCATCTCATTCACAACAATCTTATCCGCTAGTTAAGCCGATAACTCGCTAAACTACCCACGAGTGTTAGTTATCACTACACACACGCGTCGGTTTTGTATTTCGGTTGGGTTTGTCGTTATTTCGGCGTGTTTTTTCGGTCTGTCACGCCACGTTCGCTGAGATTCGGCACGCGCGAGACAAGCTTGTCGGTTAGCGGGAAAGTCGGTTATTTTGATAAACACGAGATCGTAGTCGCGAGTTAAGCGAATATCTGAGGTAAGTATAATTGTTTGGTACGAGTGTAATAGTGTGTTGGTGGTTAATATGGCGTTTATTAAGCCCACTATTGGGCCCGTGTTGCATCAGAAAAAGTACTGTCACATGGTAATGCCACAATAATATTAGTATTACACTTCAGCTGCCACGATACATGTCAAACGACCATGGTGTATTATACTATGGTACTATGTCCTTGAAGCATTATAATGCCATACTGCTTTTGTTAGTGTACACACAGCGAAAGAGGGAATAAAGGAGAGAAAGAGTGAGTCAGTCGTGCTGATTCAGCATGTGTGTGTTTGTTTGGTAACTTATCAGTTTGTCAAAATTTTCAGCGCATTGCATAATAATCAAACAGCTCATTGTTAAAGCCCTTTGTTTTAATTCATTCTAAATAATGTTATCTAAAGGGGTTTTTTGACAGCTGAGTTAAGGCTGCTCAAAGCTGGAATAAATAAAGCCTGCTTTGACCCAGCTTAGCCCCAGTATCAAAGTATACAGTTGTGTAAATGCATTTACTGAGCAGCATTAAAAAGTCTGTCATCTAGTGCCACTTCAGTAGCGCTTCTGTGCCACCTTTGCTGTGTAAATGTGCCATAAAGATGATGGTCTGACATAACATGGATGTATGACCCGTTTATCTCATTATACTGTATTCATTGTATTACCATGTAATTACTATGGTATTATAATCACACAAAAAACTATGTAAAATTTACTCATTTTTAAGTTTTTGCACAAGTAAAATTAATAAACATTATTTTTGATCCACCCATGCAGTTTCAGTTAATGCAACAAATTATTCATGTTCTTAATAAACACACTAAATACATTTTACATATTTAAGTGGACTGAACACTTTGTGGACTAAGTGGACTGAAATTAAGTTGTGATAAAATGTTTAGCAAATTGTTGCATTTTTCCACTGTGATCTCTGCCATTTTACTACAACAGTACTGTTTTTAATGATCAATTGTTATTTTGACAGATTAATAAGGCCTTTTTGCCCAGAATCAGTATCTCAAACTGTTTACTTGTATTAACAATAGTTAACTTGCTCATCACAAGCTAATACTCTGAATTTCTTATTTACTTAGTCATTAAATTGTATTATGTAATCAATATTATATCATCCTGTGGTCATCCTGCTCTCTAGGTTATCAGTTATACCAATTATCAGTCAACCACTTTTTTCCTTTGTAAGTCTGTTTACATTATGTTATTGTGTGTACTGTAAGAGATTTAAGCCTGACTCATGTTTATGTTTCTCTCTCGCTCGCTCGCGCTCTCTCTCTCTCTCTCTCTCTCTCTCAGATGTGTGTGTGCTGTTTGGAGATTTGGGATAAACTGATTGAGGACAGCAGCTAACCCACGTATGGCCTGCGAGTCGGCGTTACCTGCCATCATGGACGAGCAGGCCCTCATGGGACTGAACCCCAACGCCGATGCCTGCTACAGGCAGAGGGTGAGCGCAAAACACTGGATCAGATCTTTGTGTAAACATACACACTTAAATCATTAATTTCCTCACAAATGATTTGGGACTGCATCAATCTGTGTCTGCAGAATTCACATGCACATCATTTACAGTCCATTACTTTTTTTTGCATGACTAATAGTTGTAGTGCATCGTTGAGTAAATAAAACAATCTTTAATTACGTTCTCTGTGTTTTCAGGCGCTGGCATATTTTGAGCAGTTGAAAGAGTCTCTGGATGGATGGGAGGTGTGTGCTGAAGCCCTGGCCAAAGGGTTTTACAGGTAAAATACACTTTAGAAGAGCATGAAACCGCTAAATCTAGTGTTTTTCTGTAAGATTATAGCAGGCCTTGCTGCTACATATGTGCAGTGTTTCCCCTGCCATTATTTTAGGGGGGCGGCCCGCCCCCCCAACGG